GGGATTTCTCCCCCAAAAGTGGATTTTTCCCCCCCCCCCCCCCAAAAAAAAAAAGAGATCTGCGTATAAACGTACAGTATAATATGTACAATCTCAAGTGATTTCTCCTACATAAGTTGATATTTTCCCCCCCCCCCCCCCCAAAAAAAATAAGAGATCTGCATATAAACGTATAATATGTCTATATAAAGAATTTTAATATGGACTCTAACTTTCTATCATACTGTAGATTTCAAAATTACTGTAATCTATACTGTTGTACTAATAACATATCTCTATAGACGTCTATATCAGTATATGGCCTATAAGATACATCATTTACAGCTTCCACTGTCTATTTTACATATCGAAATATTCCAAATTCTTTTCAATACTGTGAATACTAATACAGTATATGCAATTTGAACTAGACGTATTTTAATGCTATCCTATCAAGAATTCAAATCTAAGTAGATCTTCTAATGGAAGGTATACCTAGACGCCTATTGCACATACTCTATTTCTATATTCCATCAGGGTATGGTTAAGTAAATGATAATCGAATGCAATGTCGACACCTATACGTCTTCCTATAATAACTTGACTTTTTGAATTGCTGAAGAGATTGTGCAGCAATTTATATTCAATAACCATGCTATAATATCGATTCTATACATTTCTCGAAAAAATCTTTCGACGTTATCAATTCCTCAAGCGTGTGTTATACACGATTGATTATTCAATCGTAAGCTATTTAACTAAAATAAGAGTTGTTGAATATAAAAAAGGGGAAAAGAAAAAAAAAATCACTGCAATGCATTCTTAGTTTAATTCTACCATTGGATGTCAGTTTAACATAAAATCAATGATTTAGGGTCGTTCTTTGATCGAATTTATTGACAAATGTCAATTTGATATCGTCTATTGATGTCAGGTAGACCTTTCATAAAAAAATCTGCAATCATTTAACACTAATATACAAGTGATTAGATTACGACAAGACCTATCTGAGTGTCAATACATTCAAGAGGACAGCTAGATTGGCAAGCCATCAGGAAAAACAAAGTAAAAATGATGAATGCTATAGAAGAGTAAATCAAAAAAGAGAATAATCTATCTGAATAGATACCATGATGAGGACAATATAATGTTTAACTCAATTGAATTTTGACTACTACGCGTATAGTTGAATTGATCTATTCTATCGGCAGTTGCTTAGTGTGCAAGGAACAATATCAAAATTTTAAATACAATTCTGCGATAATAACATTATTTCAATGATATTCTTGATATTTAAGTCAGTATACACACCAACCAGCTCATAATGATATGATAATATATATATTATCTATCTCGATACAAGTGCTTGTACTTGGAATAAGATACGCATCATCAATTCCAAGAAGGAAAATGAATCCATACTTTCCCTTCCGCCTTTTTCTCTCTCTCTACAAGTAGTGTAGTTTTACAATTAATGATATCCAATACAGCCAAAATAGAACATATATCTCCAATTATGAAACGTCATAAGTAATCAAAAAACTTTCTACTGTCTATATTGTATATGTATATATATAGCGAAAAATGCGACAAATTATCTTCACCACAAATAATCATAATAATCACTTGTAAATTCAAGCGAATTTGCTACGTGATGTATTTCAATTCTTGAAGTCTGTTACTGTTAAGTTCCATTTATTCTTATACATGGAATACATTGATTCTTATTTCAAGAATAGATCGTTGAAAGGT